GCCTGCTCATTGTAATATTAGCATCCAAAGTAACACCAAGATTTCTGACCTGCGCAGCAGAGCCTATTAGGGTTTCCCCAATAACTAATTACTCAGTGGAAGTTTTTCCAATTGTTGGCGAGACCCAAGAAGTATGTATTCAGTTTTGTCGTTCAATTTTAGAAAATTTTGCTTCACCTAAAGACGTAACTCTGAAATGCAATTTTCGAGTGATTCTAGAGAGAGGTTAAGTTGCGTCATGGACGGTTAAACGAGAGGTAAACCTGAGTATCGTGAGCATAAACATGGTAGGACAAGTTATATTTACAAATTATATTCCAAATAGGTAGGATATAAATTGTGAACCATTGTGGCCCAAGAACAGATCATTGAGGAACAGAAAAATTGAAGGAACTTTCCTGAGAGAAAGCGTCCCCAATACATACATGTTGACGTCTGTTGGTCAGATAAGATACCATTCCAATGCACGACCTTCGACTCCACTGCGTTTACTTAATCTACGAAGCAAAACATTATAGTCAACAGTGTCGAAAGCTGCACTTAAATCTAATAGAACTAAAGCAGTAAGTTTGCCATCATCCATTGCACGTAGGATGTCGTTGCTAACTTTAAGTAATGTTGTTTCAGTGCTATGATGTGCTTTGTAAGCAGATTGGAACGAATCAAGTAAAGTATGTTCTTTAACATGGGCCAATAATCGTTTAGACACAACCTTTTCAATTATCTTACCAAGAAAGCTTAAATTAGAAACAGGTCTGTAATTTTTGAGAACCTCGGGATCTAGGCTTGGTTTTTTCAAAGTAGAAAAACATGCGCAACTTTCAACGCATCACGAAAAGACCCATTCTCAAGAGATTTATTTACTATATTTGTTATGATAGGAATAAAGGCATCATGACAAGACTTTATGAATGAAGTAGGTATCTAGACAAGTCGACAAGATTTCAAAGGCTAACTTCTAACAATGTCACTTATTTCCACCTCACTTGCAGGATCAAACTCAGAAAGCAATATAGACCTAGAGATTTCCTCTGCTCCAATCATATTAGAATACCCAGTAGCATCACTCAAATGATTTTGAGCAAAAGAACTACGAATATTTTGGATTTTGTTCTTGAAAAACACAGAGAACTTATGTGCCAGAGCTTGATTTGATACAGAAGAAGGAAGAACCGTAGACTTTGAGCGGTGCAGGAGGTTGTTAACTATGTTAAAGAGCTTTTTCTGATCACCAGAGCAGTCCCTAACAAGGGTAGAATAATACATGGTTTTAGCTTTTTCAACCATTTCATTTACGTCACAGTACTTCTGCCTGTCAGAATGAGTCTTAGATTTAGACATGCTTCATCAACATCATCTTCAGGTACTGTGCATAAACCTCAGTTTATAGTATTCTCGCACAACGCTAAAATGGCAAGCATCACCTTGGCATCACACGCAGATGTGTTGTCATTTCTTGCCCCTTATATTTAATATCAATGGCCGTATTCGACTGGTCGTTCTTCGTTAAACCACGCCCACCTCGCAGTGGTAAAATCCTACTTAACGAAGACGACCATTTGAATAGAAATCTGGTGGGCATAAATACTCGACAAAACAAAATGGCTGCGTAGTTACCGCGATACATGTTGCGTAATCCATGTTGCTTCGGATTGTGGCAGTATGGGTTTAGTTTTCGTCTAATTTTTTAATTATGTTAGGGGTCATCCATAACTTTCAACATTTTTGAAAGAGTACAAAACTCCTTTCTGTGACCCACTCCCTCCCACTGAAGTGATTTTTTTTCATTTTGAGATCAACATTAAATCTTTTTCATAAAAGAGTACTTATACCTACACATTCAAACCCTCCCCCTCCTTAAATAGTATGTTTTGTACTCTTTTGAAAATGTTGATAATTATGGATGACCCCTTAGCCTACAATAATTTTTTTGACTTCATGTGGGTAAATATTATTATAATTTTTAATTTCTGAAATTTAATCTAAATTATATTAACGCAAATGTTGTTGCTAAACTGACCAATCTACCATGTTTGTTTTGGACACGCGGATAACTTTAACGCTGATTAACGCACTCTGGTTTACGTTAATTTTCTAAGTCAACGAAATTATTTTACGAACTAAACGAAAAATCGTAGTCAACGAAATGAACCAGTCGAATAAGCCAATGGCTTCGTAGGACAAGCACGCATTTCCGGACCTGTTCTGTCGCCAGCTGTCAAGTTTTATTGACTCCCTGGGAATGTCTAGTTGTATTACTATTATGTGGCATAAAGAACTCGTTTCTGCTGAATAACGCCATATACAGTAACATGTTATTTTGTAACGGGATCCTACATAACGCATTTGTGCTCAAAAAAGGTCAATTTCTATTTGATACTCAAAACGAGTGAAATTATGTAAATTTGGATATTAATAATCACAGTAAATTCAAATTATGTTCATAAGTTTCTTTTTGTATATAAACATTTATTATTACCATATTTCGCGTATGTTTCTATTTTATCTATTTTATATAAAGTGCACTTATCCATCATGTGAAACTAAGGAAAAGGCAGAAGATCAATTTAGAGTCACGTTTGACCAAGATTTTCTTCAATTCAAGGATACACACACCCAGAAAGGCAAAACATTTCATTGCTATTACAACCCAGAAAATGACGAGGCTGTTATAACGAAAACTACCAAATGGGAATATTTATATTTGGTGTTACTTATTTTTGTGGTTTACTTCGTCCTCGAAGCCAAATACCAGTTTTCTTCTGATGAATAAACAAATCAGGTGAATAATATCTTAAGCTAAAGCAATATAAGTCTACGAAATGAATTAATAACATAAGTCAGGTTTTGAAAACAAACTTTAAGGCCTGGCCACCAGGTGAAAGAAACACAATACATATTCACAAAACGAAAAAAGAAGGTTACAGATAGTATAACTGACAATTAATTAATAGTAGACAATATTAATAGTAGACAATATTAATAATAATAATAATAATAATAATAATAATAATAATAATAATAATAATAACAACAACAACAATAACAATACTGCTACTACTAAGAATAATAATAATAATAATAATAGCAATATCGATAACAATAACAATAACAATAACAAAAATAATAATAATACACAATTTAAATACTCATGTTATTACATAATATTATATGAACACACCTATATTATAATGCTAAGCTTCCCAAATGTCGCGACCGAAACGTTGGTCGCCAACATTTTTACGTTGGGTCACGATCAGGTTTGCAAAAATCTTTAAAAAATAATATTGCCACTTCATGTGATAAGCAATTCGTATTTTTCAATTAAGAAAAAAATATTAAGTGCTACGGAAATATTGTATTCGAATACTTCAAAACTTGGTTACTGAACTGCATTTTACTATTCTAACTTGAGAAAGAAGTAGGAGATAAATACAAAATATTTGATTTCATGAAGATTTGTTTTCACAATGATATCAATACTTTTCATTTCCGGCGTTTATTTTAGCAAATGCACTTCAAGAGAACGAAATAATATTTTGTTTGAACGAAATTTTATTTCGAGGGAACGAAATTATATTTCAAGTAAACGAAATATTATTTCGTTCCCTCGAAATCATTTTAGTTCCTCTGAAATATTATTTCGTTTCTTCGAAATATTATATAGTTCCCTCGAAATATTATATCGTTCCCTCGAAATAATATTATTTCGTTCCCTTGAAATATTATTTCCGTTCCCCAGAAATATTATTTCGTTCCCTCGAAATATTATTTTGTCCCTCGAAATAATATTATTTCGTTCTCTCAAAAGAATATTTCGTTCCCTCTAAATAATATTTCGTCCCCTCGAAATAATACTTCGTCCCCTCGAATGGATGGATGTTTAGGATCGTAATACACTTTTCTCAATTTCTCGTCCATGCTCATTCCTCTCACACAATCAAATGAAACGAGACAACTAAATCGAAGACTAATAAAGATTTAAATTTTATTCATTTTTCCACAAACTAAGATTTATTCACAAACATACACACTATTGAACATGATCACAGTAGAACATCACAGAATAATAATAATAAATAATAATAATAATAATAATAATAATAATAATAATAATAATAATAATAAAATAATGATAATAATAGTAATAGTAATAGTAATAGTAATAGTAATAGTAATAGTAATAGTAATAGTAATAGTAGTAATAATAATAATAATAATAATAATAATAATAATAAAATATGGTACATTTAAGAGCTCCAAGCATTTAAAAGTTTATCAAATAAATGAATGTCGGCTTGAATCAAATGCAAGAAATGATGGAAAGACCTTGTCGATCGAGCTATTGATCATACATACTTGATCATCTTAATTACCATATAAAATTTGTTCGAAATAATTGCTTAATTGTTCGTATCCGGTCATCATTAAACACATGTCTTTAGTCTACATGACTCGCTTTGTCGAATTCGCATCCATAACAGTCTCTTTCAATCTCTTTAGTACAACTAAAAAATGTTCAATGTATATTCGTTGCCGTAATTTCTTTTATCATCATCCCATCAGCTTGGACATCCTGGACGATTCTTTCCTGCTCAAACACACTGTCTTCGTATATGGTGTCAGGATTCGCCGCCAGGTGCAATGGAAGTCAGATATATCGTACGTAGGATTATTTAGGATTTCTTCTTCAGTACCGGTAATACGAATGATTTAATTTGTTATATCGTCATCCAGCGAAATAGATCTACGCCGGATCATTCATGAATCTCGTCATCGCTGCTAATCACGACTGGTTCATTATTTCTCAATTACGCACTGTATGTACACTGCTAATGTTTATAATGATTGGTTCCTCATTTAAAGACTAAGATTTAAATTAAAGGAATCTCTTCATCACTGATAATCAGGATTGGTTCCTCGTTGATTTCTTGAGTATTGTATGAAGAGCAAGTCATATTTATTGATGAAGTATATTAAGTTATAATATACCGATATAGTTTTAAAGCTCAATGGTTTCGTAAAAATGAATGATTTCGCATTAGAAAGTAGAGCTTAAAGAGAGTCTCTATTACCAGCATATTTTTTTCCTTATCAATCCACATACACGTCTTCATACTGATTTAACTAATTGTATTGGTTATTGGAATTTTGCATATATCATCTTTTTTTTTCTCCTCCGTGCGTTGTACCATCATCTTTTTTCCTCAGCTTGTTTTCTCTTTCCGCCACCATCTTTTCATCCGTACCATTACCGCAAACATCTTCACCATTATGTTCTTGTAAAATGTATTCGAACTTTACTGGCTTGTCGTAACATCTCAACATCTCAATCTCTCAACAACACTATGTTTAATTGTTTGTCGTAGAGAATGTATGCCTCGTGATTTAAGATATGCTTGAACCTTTTTGTTTGCAAATTCTGAACCTCTATCTGTATGGATTTTTAAAGGCTTTCTTTAGCCTACTAAAGTAACTAAATGATCACTCGCAAACATTTTCATTTTTTTTTAAAATTTAATTTATCGTTCAGTTTCCTTATAACTCCCTTACGTCCATGTTATCGAAATCCATTTCATCTTCATCATCTTCATCATCGTCGTTATCCTCATATTTTCTTGATCTCTTGTTACCGCACACAGACTGAAACATAAAAAAAAGATATATTACTAAAATACAATTTAATATACTTAATATGGTACTAATCATTACCAAATTCAGAAACTTAACTTACCATTTGTTTAACGTGTTTTCCTGCTCCGTATTGTACTATAACGTTTTCATCGTCTTCTTCAATTTCTTCGTTTTCCTGTTCATAAAATATCATCTTCATATGTTCTCCTTGACATGTCGTCTTACACTATTATCTTCTTCTCCTTCTCCTTCTTTTCCTTCTTCTTCTTCTTCAATTTCTTCGTCTTCATCTTTGTAAATCAGTTTTTTATGCCTTCCTTGTCCATGTCGTCTCACTATGTTATCGTTTTTCACAAAAGCTTACCGTACTGTGCATACCTAAACCTAATTGACCATGTCTCTGAATTTCAAATAAAGCCTGTTCACAAGCAAAACGTATGTTATCATCAGTATCTTCATTTTCGTCATTGATACCATTTACAAATTCAAACTGTAATAACAGAAAAAAGAAAAATATTTTACCTAACGTAAGATTAAATGCTATTTACTTAAAACATAAAAATCAATTTCAATAAATTGAAAAAATACTAACAAAAAGGTACATACCAATTCTTCTTCATAAAATCCAATATCTAATTGTTCTTCGTTAAGATCATCCTGTTGTCTCTTTATTTCTTCTTAAAATTCAATCTGTGAAAAAAAATGCATTCACACATACTGTTCTATTCTGTAATCAAAATTCTGTAATCAAAATAATCAAGAAAAAAAAAGAAATAAATAAATACATAAAATTTACAACTTACCAATTCATCGATATGGTTTAGTAATCTAACAGAAAACCCTCGTTAGCATCTTCATCCCACTTCGTAACTTCTTGGTTTGAAGAATATTCGTGTAAGTTCATCTTCGAAGATAGGTATTACATATTATTAATTTTTTGTTTCAAAAACAACTAAACTTATGTTGTCTTTACCCGTAATTTCTTCTAAATATATAGACGTAGAAAGATAACATGACGTCATCAAAGTTTCATAACACTATTCACATTTATCCGGGCTAGTCAAGACACGTCATCACTCTCAGCCAATGAAAATCGTTCTTTACATGAACCAATCAAATTAATCTTTTCCACACTACGTCACCATACCCCCATTTTGCAAATTATTATACCAGCCAATTATAATAATAAACAATTGTCAATCATAAAAATACCCTAATTAATACTTCATTCCATTGTTCTATTGTTACGAATAAACAGTTTCATTTCCTATAATCAGTCTAGCGTGGTTAATCTAACTACTTATATATGTCTCGCCTATATCTAAGTAGTTCTAAAAAAAACAGTTGTTGTTGAGAATGTCTCAACTTTAAATAATTGTGATAATAACTTACATTTGATGATCTCTTGAGTGTTCCAAAAATGATAAGCTGACTGATAAGTTGACTGATGATGACGCATAGCGGGTTTTTCAAACTGATGACGCATAGCGGGGCTTTCTAATGACTGTCCTAGCACGTTGAAGTCGAATAATGACGTATAATGAAAAGATCGAAACATGCGCTGGTATGTATGACGTGTGAGTGAAATTAACCAATGAGCGAAGCGCATTGAGATTACGTCTGATGAGTAACGAAAAGCCGATAGATATGCGGGCACATGAGTAGTTAGATTTACCACTCTAGACTGTTTATTGGAAATGAAACTGTTTATTCGTAGCATTAAAACAATGGAGTGGAATATTATTGTGGGTACATAAACTATAATTATGCGGGTACATAAACTATGATAAACTATAATAAATATAATAATGTGGGTATTAATTTATATATGTGTGTTTATTATTTCCAT